CATATTAACAACACATTTAAATTCTTTGGTCTAGGTCTCAGTCCCAAATTATTAAGGCTGCAAGTATCAGTCATTGCAAAGTTATCCCAAGGGCATGACTGTATTCACTTCAAAACAATTCAGGTCCCCCCCACTGACAGCAGTGGAGACTGCAATCTGTAAATCATAGTCTGGTCATACAGTTACCTAAGGGAAGTGGCCCACCTGAAGAAGGTGCATGGGTCAAATCTTTCTATTCCACAGCCTGAGAAACTGGGGTTGGATGTCCAAAGAGGGGAGATGGGCTGGAAAGCTACAGATGTGCTTTCTCACACAGAACTAGGCTATCCCCAGCAGGGTGCCAGCAGCAGCCCATGCCTGTTTTGGTCTGCAGAAGAGAATCTGCTTTTTCCTTTTCCTTTCTTCTTTTCCCCATAGCCTATCTCTAATTTTCCCAGGTAGGTAACACAGGAGTCCAATTTTCACATAGAAACTTTCCGGTCTGCCCCACCTCCAACCAGTGCAGTTGTCTCCATTTGGCATAAACTAAAGACCTGAGGACATGTTGTTAATGCACATTTACTGTGCCTAGAGTCTCTTGGAGGAAATAAATAGCTTTCTGTGTTCTGATTTTGTACCAGTTTCTTTTAGCTGAGCTTGACATTGACAAAGGTCAGAGGATCTCCATCAAAGATGAGGAGCTCGCTTCACTGAGGAAGGCTGCTGAGTTTGACACCATCTGCAATGAGATTATCCCCAAGAGCATCACAGAGATCCGCAGGCTGAGTAGCAGGCTCTCTTCCTACCCAAGGGTTCTCAAGAAAGAAGACTTTGAAAGGACAGTGCTGACCATGGTCTACACAGCCTACAGAGCTGCTCAGTCCCAGGGGCACCAGAAGGACATTTGGGCTCAATCCTTTGTCAACCTTTACAAAGCCCTGAAGCACGACTTGATGTTCCCATACAACAAACAGCCATCATAGTGGGAGACTAAATGCAACAGCAACTCAGCCACCTCTTTTGGTTGATAATGGACACATGTAGCACGTCCACCACTTTTTTCTGTAACGAGTTTAATAGCCCACTTTGTGAAAGATTATTTGTTTTCTAGCTCCCTCTTGTGGAATCCACTTTATAGTTCCATTTTAAATGGTGCAAAATGTCCAGTCCTGAGAATCAAATTTTTGTGCTGGCTTGGAGGCACACAAGCAAAGTAGTGAGTCTAGGGTACACCCAGACAAACCCTGGATTTGTCTTCTGGGTTTCCTATAAACAATAAATAAGTATACTATGCTTATACTCACATCCTTATGTGTAACTGCTGGAGAGTGTTACTTTCATAGATAGGGAAACAAGTTCGTGTTTTAACTGGCCAGTAAAAGAATATTATAAATAGATGCAAAGGCCCTCTGTAAAAGGAAGAAGTTTCATAACTGTCAGCCTTCAGAAATTATGCCATATATTATTCATTCCAAATGTTCTTGTGAAAAAGCACTCTCTGATTCACTTCGTTTGGCTGAGCCAGTTTTCAATTGCAATAACATTTGCAGAAAACAAAGGGCATTGTGAACACCAGCAAGAAACAATGCCTGTGAACATATTCCCTGCTTCCTAGATCTGCCCTCCCAAACAATCTGCAATGATTCTTTCATTATTTGCACACGGCTTTGCTTCTGCTGTTTTTAATTTTTTTTGAAAGGAACATATATTTGTTCGCAGTGGAATCAAAGGCAAGACAAAGGCCCTATTTAATTTAATAATGACACAGTTTTCCTGGTTCTGTCACTTGAACATAGGTCATCTAAACCCATGCTTCAGAATCCCCCTGAGGCAAGGGAGGAAAGTGCATTAAAATATACCTGGTGCTGAATCTAGCACTGGAGCTCGTGGGAGTTTTTTGTTTGTTTGTTTTGTTTGTTTGTTTGTTTTTAAATAGAAAATTGTATATTCATTTGAGTATACATGTTTGTGTATGTCTGTGTATGTTCATGCATGTGTGTGCACGTAAGTGCTGAGTACAGAGAAGAATCCTAAATTGTTCAGTCAGGGAAAAATTGCATCTGACCACTTAGCAGAAATGCTATTTATCAATCCAGGGGTGCGAATTATGAATTTGGGAGCAGCAAAAGCAAAAATTGTAGAAATAGTGCAACTAATTTTAATAAACTCCCAAATGAATCATGGACAGAAAACAGACATAAAAAGAAGATATATGTTGTCAGACAGATGGCGAGCTATCAAAAATCCAAATTCTTCTAAATCAAATCCCCTAATTTTTGTGCAGAAGTGATACAAACTCTGTTTTTCTATTGAAATTAGTGGGGCTTCTACTTCCAGAACCATGGGAAAAGAGTTAAACTTTTATTTCATCCTTTAATACCATCCTTCTTTATCTCTCAGCTGGCATCATATTTTAAGGATACAGGCCCAAACCACAAATCCCGGAGACTGTAGAGGAGACCTGTGGATTTCAGCCCAAGTTCTGAATCACGTTTAACTGCTTTTGCATCACTTGAGCAAACAGAATTAATTCCAGCATGTCCCTTTACAGGGATACTTCCAGGACTGGAGCCGAAAAATGTCTATCCAGCACCACCTTGTTGCAGCAAACAGCAAATAGCACAAGCAGTCAGAGTGCACTGGGTTTGACAGTCACATGTGGGAATGTGGAACCACGGGAGCCTTAGGGGCAGTCTGACCGTGGCATTAGCAGCTGGACAAAGGGCTTATGAAAGACAGTCTTTCATAAGTCTTGTTTCTCCCAGGAGTTTCTGTATTTGTCTGTATGGGTGTACATGTCCACATTTAGCCTCACATAGGTGTGGGTGCACTTTTATACCTGAAGAATTTTGTTGGTCATCTTCAAAGTCTGCCTGGCACATGGCAAGGGAAACCAAAAACCTCAGCCACAAAGCTATGGGCCACAAATATCTCCATCTCCTCTACTTGCACACAGCTCTCACAAAGCAGCCTTGCACTACAGCCCTCATGCCCTTTAAGCCCCGAGCTGTAACACTGATGATCTCTTGGTGTTTTCTTCCCCCACCATGCTTTATAAACACATGGAGGGGAAATGGCACGGAGTGTGCTACTGCTTTTCCAGCTCTGCTTGGCTCCCTGAAGCACCACTTGCCAGAAACAGTTCCACCTGCCTGGAACTAGGGCAATTCATAAATCCCTTACAGCCAGTTACTCCAAGTCTGCAAAATTAATAAGAAAGAAAACTAAAGGAAATATTAATTGCTAGCAGTCACCATTCAGAGAAATGAATGGTGACCATACCCAGCCATGCTCCTCAGCCCACAACAGGACTGTCCAGCAGTCAGTTTACTCATCATACAATATCACATACAAAAAAATTACAGGTAATTTTTACTATCTTATAATTCCCTATGGCATACATAGTAAGGTTCCTGTACCTTACACATTGGTAACTGAAACCTTTATCCCTCAATAGAGAATAAAGGTTTTATGAATTTATTTCCCTCCTCCCTTTCCTGTGTGTAATGTAAGAAAAAGATTTATTCCTTGGGAATGTGCTTGGACTGCCCAGGTTAATTTAACAGAGACTCTCAATGTAATAATAAAAACATTCTACATAAAATACTTGTCTTTGCATTGTATTGATTTAGCAGCAGATTTACTATTTAGCAACTTCAGCTTGAGTAATTGCTCACCTTGAAATGCAAAACTCTTCATGGGAGCAACAGCACAGTAGAGAAAAGGGAACAACCCTTCCCTCTGTGCAGCAGGAGTTGGTAATAAATAGGAACAAGAGTGCCTCCTTTTCCGGAGTTCTGGCAGGAATGAGCATTCTGCCTTCAGGGCAGTTCTTTGGGTTTAGGGCAGTTCCCTCCCTCAATACTCCTTAAGGTGTAGGAGTAGGTTGCCTGCTCCCAGCCTGAGTTTGCATCTTATCACTTCAGACTGAGCCTTCTTTATAGGCCATTCTTCCCTCAGAGGTTGAAAAATCATTGCCCCTAAATGGCACCTTTTATCCACCCTTTGACCTTACAGATCATAAAAATGTGAACTAAAGGTTAGATCTTTTTTCATTTAAAATAAAACTATTTTTAATTTTTTTAGGTATTTTAGACTTTTTTTTTTTTTTGTCTCTCTGAAACAACCGATAGAATGGGTATTAATTCCCTGGCTGCACTGGCCAACCCAAAATCTTAACATTAAATATATTTTTACTTCCAGAACTAGTTGCTAAATTTGCCAGAAGGGTCTCAAAGTTTTTTTTGCTTGATAGAAGTTCCAAGGCATGTAGAAGCATTTCACAGTCTGAGATACAATTACAAATTTCAGGAAGAATTCAACCTGCACATCAAACCCCTCTGCAGGTCTGCCTTTGCTGGCTCCCCAGGAGTCATGGTCACAGAGGCATTACAATCCAGTCCTGGGGAGCTCAGTTTGTTGTTGATCAGTAGAGGGTGGGGAGAGGAAAGGGAAGCACCTTTTGGGGGCGTGGAAATTCCTAAATGTGTGGCTTCCTATGAATGGATGTCCACAGATTGTGCCTGTAACCAGCCAGTGGATTCAGCCCTAAATCTATGGTACTTTTGGCCCCACAAAAAGCATTAATTACAGGAGTGTTGGAGAAATGTTTTTCCACTGGAAGAGTAGAGGGGAAAGTCTAAAAATTTCCAGTTTGATTTTGAATGCTAAGGTTACTTAGGGCTCTTTAATCAGTGGAGAGATTGTGACATTCAAGGATCTCAATGGAAGAAACATGAAGACAAAAGATACTGTTTAGAAAACAATGATTATTTATTTATCATCAGTACTGGGACCTTGAAACAATAACAAACTGTTCAGCAACTTAGAAAAGGTCTTTTTGTATATTTGTGTAAATGTCAGAATGAGGAGGCTGTTGATGTTCTCAAATGTTCTCACTGGGTTTTGGACAATGGGTGGAGCAACTTTTACCTTCTGCAGTCCTCATTGGTGAATTAGAGCTGCACGTAGCTTTTTAACAAATGTTTGTCTTGAGATCAAGTATAATCTGTACTGGAATTGCTGCCCTTTGAATTCCAGGCTCAGGGCAAAAGTAGGGTAAAGGTAGATACAAAGTAGAAGCAAAGAAATAAAGTCTGAAGGAGTTGCAGATGGGTTTTTTTGTGTTTTGTTTTTTTTAAAGAAGGAGTACCTGAACATTTACTTCTATGCATTGAACCATAAATTGTTTGGTTTAATAATTTTGCAGCAGAAAAGAAACTGTATTTGAGGCATTCAGACTATCAAACAGAAGGAAAAGCAGCAGCTCAAAACATATCCCGCCTGGTTTATGAAAACAGGAGTCACATTTCTAGATGATGGAAGGAAAAAAATTTATAAAACATGAGAATAAGGATACAACACAGCTACAACTGTGAGTCTGAATTAAAAATAAGAATTGTAAAAAGATCACTATGTTCCAGCTTGCAAACCTCTGCATGCTATGGTGTGATAATAATTTGGATGTGCTGGTGAGCCCTACATAAACTGAATGTCTTTTTAACTGAAAAACCTTACCAAAACAAAAGATTGAAGAACAAATAAATTAAGGAAGATATTTTAGGTGACTGTAAGGAAATGAGGTGGTGAGAGACCTTTTGGGGAAATCCAGGCACAGGTGAAGGAAAGTTGAAGTCGATTGGAAGTTGGAGTATCTGAGGCGTCAAAGTTGGAAAAAGTGAAGGCGTGGAAGTTGGAGAATCTGAGGAACTGGAAAAGTATCTGAAGGAGAAGAAAGCCACCAGAAAGTAGAAGAGTATGGCAGTGATGAAGGAGATTCTCCGATCCAGAAACCTCCTGCTTGTTGTTCTCATTCCACTTCTGCTGCTTCCTCTGCCACTCGTATACCCCAGCAGCGTAAGTACATTTTAATTTTCTTTTTAACAAAACCCTCTGAGTGCAGTAGGTAGTACTGCTGGATAAGTTTGCAGTGTGCAAAAACAGAAGCCAAAGACCTAAAAAAGCATAGATCTTAGAAAAATCAGAGACTCAAATCTGAAGGACTGTGAGGTTCACTTAAAAGTCATCACAGTAAGAACTGGAGCTACCTTGAGTCATGTCACAAGCAAAGCTGAAGAGTGAGGTGAAGCTAGCAAAGCAATACTTTAAAGCAAAATATTGAATCTCCTCATTTTCTAAAATAATGTCTACGTAGAAGAGGGAACAGAAGAAACATATACATGAAATTTTCTTTAATGAGAGGTCTTTAAAAGGAATACTTATAGTATTCCTTTATTAAAAAACTCTTTAGTTTTTAAGTAATGAATATGCGTGGAGGGACTTCCAATTTAACGTGGCTTTGTAAGATGGCAATTCAGGTGAGGCAAGGGCTAGGACACAGTGACAGACATGTAGGACCCTATGTGGCATTGGCTACTCCAGAGCAGGTGTAGGTATCTCTGCAGCTCTGATAGTGGTTAATAAATGCTGGCTCAGAGACAAAAACAGCAATTCAAAGGAGGGAATAGTCTGTGCCTAACACACAGACCAGAGAATGGGAATGAATTCAGCTGTGTTCCTCACACTGCTTTGGACCTACTGAATACCTCTGGCCACACGGTGAACTCCTCTCTGTGCACATCTCTGCCGTTGTAACCCATAAAATAGCAATGATTTCCTACCTTGTGGAGATGGTGATATGTAACTTATCAAAATTTGCAATGTATTTAAAATTCTGCAGCTTGTCCTTCCACATAGTCCTAGAAATAAATCTGGCCAAATGGTGCAGCAATTTCCATTCCATCTTCTACGCTGCTAAAGTTTAATTCTTCCTTACAGTATCGGAGGATTTTGGAATACAACTACTTTACTGAAATCAAAATGCACAAGATTAGAAATTGTATAGCTGTTTTCAAAAATAAAACAGCAATATGTTTTTTGAAAGAAAGCTAGGATTCATAAAAAGGAGATGTTCCTACACCACTGAACTGTATGTTGCACTTCAAGTATTCCTGCTCTGAACTTCAATGTATATCTCGTCTGTTCTCTTGTAGTAGTTTTTCATCTCTTCTATCTGGAGAGAGGCAGTGACTGACAGACAATTGTGGTCTTCTTCAGAGAACAGAAAGGCTCACCCTTTCACAGAGGCTTGTTTTGCAAAATGGTTTAATCTCCCCCATGTCACTGGAAGGGCAACATAAAAAGATACAGTCCCTGACATGCCCATATGGTCCTGTAACTGCAGCGTGCTCTGTGTCCCTTGAGACCCTTCCCTAGGAAACATGAGACTCATTGCATTAAAATTTGTCCCTCTTCTTTGCTCCTTACTGGGTTCAGAAGCATAGGATGCAATAAGGAGACTTTAATAACCAAGGGAATTGTAACAGAACCATATTGGTGCTGAAGCAGAAGTTCGTCGAAAGTGTTACTGCAAGAATTACTATTACACAGTACAAGTCCTTGTGATGTTGCTTTACTATGAAGTGACATGAAAATCCATCAGGTGATGTTGTACATCCACTTTGTATATATGTGAAGGATCACAGATGGTAAAGTACTGCTGAGAATCTGACCAGGTTGGACAGATGTTTATAGCACTATTAAGAAAACATCTTCACCAGATAAACTCAGCTGACAGTACTCTATTCAAGTGCTTTTGTGTAGGATTTACTTTGCTACAACCCATTGATTATGATTTCTTCTTAAACCTGAAAATTAATTTTATGCCTGCTCACTTATTTATGTTTTTATTTATCAGACAAGTATGCTAGTTTCCTGTCTTTCTTATAGAGATCAGAATTACGAGGTCACTTATATTTGCATTTCTACACGGAGCCGGGGTGCAGTTTCTTTGGTGATATCAGCACATCTCTGGAAACGTCAAAGGAGCATTATATATGTAGTGACAAGACTCATCAAAGGGAGCACAAGGATTCAGAACTGTTAGTAGATATGGCTAGTGGGAATAAAGTCCACAGTTTGTTTTCTATTATTTTGTGACAAAAAATTATTGGGTAAAAAATAAATTTGAGAAAACTTACTTGAATTCTTTTTCCCTTTTCAGAGTTATAGCTGAACTTGTTCCCCAGGTTTGGATGCACAAAAGTGCCTTTCAGGCACATTTAGGAAAAAAAACATGCCTGCATGCAAAATATGCAATGCACACTTTCAAGTGGACAAATTTCCAACACAGAGTTTATTCTTCCTTTTAGTCACTCTGAGATCCTTGTATATTTTAGTTACAAAAGCTTTATGCATGAGCCTTAGTACAGAAGTTTTAGCCATGGTTTCCTTATAGGTCCTCTTTTCTTTTCACCTAAGGGACTGACTGAAGCCAGATAATTAGATCATAGTCCCTTCAACCATCGCATTCTTTCCTATTACCTGTTTCAAGCCCTGAGGTGGGCTTGAAAGTAATTTTCAGCTGTAAAACAACAAGTGAGAGGGGTGAAACAGTTAAAATTACGCTGCCACTACTTCAGTCTAGTACTTAGTAGCTCTGGTAACCATTAATTAAATATATAAATTCAGTTCAATTAAATAGAAGAGAATTATATGGTTTCTCTGGAAACAAGCTGGTTTAAAGCACTCAGAAAATAAAGAAAGAAAGTTGCTAGACAAGCTGATTAAGTTTTTAGTAAAGATTATCAAGCTTGGCTTTCCTAGTACATGTAAAACAGTTTTATACCATTTAAAAATGAGCTTTATTTTAGGCTGGTTTATTTTTGTAAAATGATTACAGCCTCGTGTATGAGAAACACAGAGACTCAGTGCCCTTCCCAGTTAGGTTTTGACAGAGATGCAATTTCCCTTTGTCCTATTCCATCTTCACTATCAGCCTACTTTTTTGCCACATAGAGAAGGGTAATAGAAAATAACAACAATCAATGCTCAGAGAAATTAAACAGAAGTAAATTTTTGGAGTGAGAAAATGGTTGTATTTCAGCTTAGGATGAAATTAATTTTATTAATTTTGGCAAAACATATTCTTTGTAGCTTACATCTTCACTTCTTTAAAACAAAAATCAATGCTTTTTCATAAGAAGTTATTTTTCTCCTTAGATAACTGCTGGATGTCATACAGAGCCCACACAAACGTTGTAGTTTGTTAGCAGAAATTTTAAAAATTAAAAATGTATCAAATAGTCAGTAGGTCACAAAAATGGTCCTATGCTGTGCTCTCTGTGGAATATTAATCATGACGTATAACGTAGTTAAAGGTGACTAAGCAGTAAATTGGCTAATGTTTATGAGCCATTTCATCAGTTCCGTGACTCATCTAAACCAGTTTTGTCTTCCTAGTAGAGATTACCAAAAATCTCTAATGCCTATCATCTCACTTGTTAAATGTCCATTTTTAAGTCAAAATTATTTGTTTGGGTTTTTTTTCCAAGTGGCCACTTGAAATTGCTACAAACTGAACACCAGACTTTGGAGTTTCAAACAGCATAGCAATTACATTTTATAAAATAATCATAATCCATGAATATTAACAAAAGTCCTCTGACCTTATCCATTCCAATCCAACCTCCTCTCACCTCTCTTAGAATTTTTTTCTTGGAAGCAATGAAGATACAACTGCAAGATACTCTTTTCTTGTAATATATTGCTGAAGGATCTTACCATAGAGGACTAGTGAAACCTCTACTGCAGAGCTTAAAGCCCAAACCACTCTCCTAAGTTAAGGAAGAGAAACAAATACGCATCCTTCTGTGTAGTTCAGAGTACCAATCCATCCACAAAGGAAGAATTCAGAGCTAAATTTCTCAAATAGCCTTTCAGATGCCCTTTATAATCTCTAAAGTAATTGTAATTTATCTGCTTCAAGGAGGTTAAGTTTTCTTATAAATTTATTTCAGTTATTTTGGTGGCCCTACTTAATAGAATCACGGAATCATTAAGGCTGGAAATTCCTCTAAGGCCATTGAGTCAAACCATTAACTCAGCACTACCATGCTCACCATTAAACCATATTCCCAACTGTCATAGCCACACACTCTTTAAAAAGTTCCAGGGATGGTGGATCTACCACTTCTCTAAGCAGCCTGATCCAATGCCCTGCCACCCAATCAGTAAAGAAATTTGCCCTGATATCCAATAGAAACTTACCCTGGCTTAGATGAATTACACCTCTTCAATGTCACACTTCTCTGAAATAAGAATCAGAGCAAGACCTGGCAGATAATTTAAACACAATCTTCTGAGTAACCTTGGCTGAAATCCTTATGCAAATAAAGGAAATAGTACATATCAATATATCTTCTTCACTGGGATGCATTCTGCCTGTTATTAATGTAAGCTATACTTTAAAAAAAAGAGACAGTTGGTTGTGGCTCTTTGTAAATATGACATGTATAAACGTGAATTTAGATATAAGCTATTGATTCATTCCACTGAACACACATCCCTATATAATTTCACTAGACTTTCCCACTTTATTCACAAAAGAGACTGAAAAAAATGAAATGTGTGCTAACTGATTGAAAAAAAATGAATGCTCATTGATTTACACAAGGATCTGTGAGACTTGCTTGTATGACTTCTTGAAAGCTGCTTTATTTAGAAGTCATCCAGTAAGGAAACAAAAGTAATGGAATTATGTTTTAAGACACTCAAATAGCATCTGTGAACTGTGAATTTTCTAAACAATAACCATTTGTGAGCTGTGAATCCACATGACTCAATAAGTTCATATGGAACACCCAGTGCGTAATGAGGAATAGATAGACTCACAGATGCTGTAAATCAGTGCAGACCTACCAGCTTCTATAGAACAGCAGGTTAGCCCCAGTACAGAAGTTGGCTTCAAATTTGAGAAAACAAAAGGAAAAACCTTTTCCTGAGAACAGTTTCTGTAATTATTACCAGGAGATATCCCTGGGTTTCTAAGTATAACAAACTGAACCTAAGGAGAACTCCAAAGAGTGACATAAATAAAGATATATCTACTTAAGAAATGGACCAGAAGGATTTCATGGATTAGCTGTGTTTTCCTATGGAAACATGCAGCAGATATCTCCATCACATCCCAGCTCTCTGTGAGTGCTCAGCATGATATTGTCATTACTTTTTCTACCGGAACCTTGGACAGCAGCAAATTTATTTGAATAACTCCATTAAGCCATTGCCTCTAAGCCTGCAGGTCTATGATCTTCTTCCAAGGACCTATGTAAATTATGTGAGCAAATAAAACCAGCTAACAAAAATCTTTGCACCTTGTTTAAAAAAAACCAACAAAACATTCCTGAACATTTCCCAAAATAAATACTAGGCAGTTTTATCCATGCTATGGCAAATGTGAATGCTCCCATCTGGTCCTGAACACTACCAGTTCCTGTTCTTGTCCAGCATTGGAGAGAAAAACATGCAGAAATAACATATTCACGGGCCCAATCTGAGTAGTCATGGTTGAATGCATGGCAAATATTGGATTATGGAAATCAAACAAATTTGTAAATGCACTTGAAACCATTATTTTGCTGATAAATAGGCTTATTACAATGTTTTGCCCTGGCTTATGTGTGAAAACTTTCATTAGCATCATCTTCTGAGACTGATCTTTCAGACGGTAACCGAGATTTCACACCCAAAGAGCTGCACTTCAGGAGGTCGTAATACAGTCCTTTTTGATATTTTTATTAAATCCATGCACCTGTAGTCTGATGAATCCTACGAACAAGTTCACAAAAGCTTTGTTCACAAAATCTCCACAGCTGCTGGTGGGGCAGTAACACGTAACTTCTGTGTTTTGTCCCTGCAGGAAGCCTCATGTGCCTACGTGCTGATCGTGACGGCCGTGTACTGGGTCTCCGAAGCTGTACCTCTTGGTGCAGCAGCCTTAGTTCCTGCTTTTCTGTACCCACTTTTTGGAGTCATGAAGTCCAGTGAGGTCAGACCATTGTGAACTTTTTGTTATCTGGTGTTCTTACTCTCAGATAATTATTTGAATAAGACTTATCTTAGTGCAGTGGCAAGACTTAGAGGTATGGGAGGAAGAAGTGTACATCTTGTAATGTGAAACTTGGTCTGAACAGCTCTTTCTTCTGCTGAAGATAGATATAAGATATAATATAGACTATATTAACCAGGAAGGATGTCCATCCTTTCAGCTACTGCAGCACCAACAATTTGCAAAACACACTGCATCAAAGGACCCCACCTTTCTCCTCCTTCAAAAACCTGTAAAGAGCAGTATGGAATACACTCTGAAGTTTCTTTCCAGTTATGTTTGTTATAGAAGACACTTAAGACAAAAGGAGGCTACATATGCTAAAAATAATTACCATTTAGTGTAAAAGACTAGATAATTTTGTTGTCTCTGTGTTGTCTGGGTGAACGTTTAATCCTTTATCGAAGCTGTGACCTAATGCTGCATTGTAGCCACGAATTCTCAGGCAAAAAAGGAGCTGCACAAAAAAGTCTACATGATCAGTTCTGAACGTGGTTACCTGAGGGTTTTCTTGAATGTTACCTTTTTCATGATATGCCAAGATTTTATTTTATTTCATCTACAATTTTTTTCCCTGCTTTTTTCTCTCTCTTTTTTTTTGGGGGGGGAGGGAAAGGGAGCCTCACACTTGATTAAAGGACTAGAAATACAGATAAGAACACAGAATAATATATAGCAACCATAAATTTTTGAATTTCTATCACAATATAGCACTGGGGATCCCAATAAATGGATAGAGAAAAGCACAAACCAAAAATTTTATGACCTGCCTTATTTCTCCCAGTGATGTAATATAATCATTTCCATGCCAACACAATTCAGTATTTTCAAAATATTTTTTCCTATCATAAAGGTAAAGTAGTTAGGAATTTACATTAAATTTAATGGCAGCCTGACAGGAATTCAATATAACATCAAATAAAATGACAGTGGGACTACTGCAGAGATTGTATTATTTGCTTTAGGAAGAGAAATAACCCCCCTCCTATTTAAAAAATAAACAAGTCTGATGATGCTGCAGTATTTCCAGTCTGCTGTTCTAGAGTGACCCAGGGCTCTCTTGCCTAGCACTTTAAGCTACAAATAACTCACAGGGGCTTAAGAACATGGGTGCATATATATGTATGTGGGTATTAAAAACACTATTAACATTCATTGGTTTCTCTAAAATGACTGTGAAAGGAATAAAGGAGAACAAGAGAGTCTTTGTTCTGCTGGCTTGATGGATTTCTTTCATTCACCTCAAGACCTTTTTATAACAGCGTAGCAGGAAAAAAAAAAAAAGAAAGTTAATGAGAAAAAAAACAGTGGAAGAAAGCCAAAAAAGCGATATTTAAAAGTTCTGGCACACAGCTATGTTGACCAAGTCTGTTTAGATCACTATGGGTATTTATTAAATAAAAGTAATTCAACACATAACTTGTTGTAGATTTCACAGAATAACATCAGTGTCATTCTTGCACTCTTATGGAGGAGTGTCAGTCTTGCTGAGGACAATGTTTCCTCTGATCTTAATTGTTTTAAAATGCTGGCACCTACATTTGGTTAGAGGAGTAGTTTTAAACTGAAGAAATTATGGTTTTGGAAAATTATTCCAGCAACAGCTTAAGAAGGATTGCATCAGAATGAAATTAAAAGTTTAGTTAGGTTTCAAGCACTTGTTTTTAACTTTTCTCCCATTTTGATGGTTTTTGCTCACCCTCTTTAAACTGAAGTTCTGTTTCTTGAAACTTTTCCCTATTTTCCTGATAAAACAGAGATAGATTTCCAATGTGAAAAGTTTTGGCACAGGATTTGTGAATCACTGCAGCAGTATAAAAACCTTTCTTAATTGCATTCAAAGAGCATGTCCCACAGGATTCTTTTTCTGAAGCTGTAAGTTCTAGGGATGCCACATTTCACCCAGAAGTTGAACAAGACAGAATAAATATAAACAAGATAGACAACTATCTCTCTAGAATGAAAAAACAGTTGAAACACATGAATAAGCTGCCTTCAGTGCAGAGTTTTGTCTGTGGCTGTTTCCGTGTGAGCCTAGCTGAGTATGACAGATTAACTGCAGGCACTGAACATCCTGCCCAAAAAAGTAACATTTCTCTTGACCCCTTCAAAACCAAGAAGCCTAAAAACAATTGGGTATAGAGCCTTGTTATTCATAAACACAACACGAAATAGATTAAAGAGGATATTTTGACTTATGAATTCCTCATGTTCTCCAGCTCCCTGTCATTCTTACTCTCTGGGGAGCAAAAGCATGCGATACCACATTACTTCTCATTCAGCGTGCTTTCTGTGTAGCGCAGTTACTGCTTTTTTAACTGACTGCTTCCCCTTGGCCCTTAATGCAGGTGGCTGCTGAATATTTCAAGAACACAACTTTGCTCCTCGTGGGTGTGATTTGTGTGGCAGCTTCTGTAGAAAAGTGGAATCTCCACAAGCGAATTGCCCTGCGCATGGTCATGATGGCTGGAGCCAAGCCAGGCATGTGAGTGAACCTCCGACTTCGGGGTAATCTGAGCATGACAGCAGCAGCTCTAAACTACTCTGATTTTCCCATCCATAGGCACAAACTAGCTTGGTTTGAGGTTCTTTTTCCATATCCATCTTTCCTTTCAAAGTTTGAAAACTTACAGATTTTTTCATCCTCTTTCTGCTACCTCTAACTCCTCGGATTTCCCTGTGTTGCACTCCAGGTTGCTTCTTTGCTTTATGTGTTGCACTACGATGCTCTCCATGTGGCTTTCTAACACATCCACCACAGCCATGGTGATGCCAATTGTGGAGGCAGTGCTCCAGGAGCTGGTGAATGCTGAGGAGGAGTGTGAGGTCATCAGTACTGCAGGCAGCACCGTTACTGAAGAAAGGAAGCCAATAGGTATTTGTCAATGCTGGTCATTCTTCACTCATTTGTGTAGTAGTAACCAAACTTGTTGATACATATTATTCAAATTCTATCAAGGTCAGATCTGTCTGACTTATACTGTCAAAGACACTGATCTGTACTCTTTGCTTTTGTACTCTGACATTCCTTTCAAAAAATGAAAGAAAGTTTTAAGATGTGATGGAAGAATTGGATTTGGGAAACTATTTATACTGAATTAAGGCATCTATTGGAGTTTGTGTGTCATAAACTCTTAGGTCTTGTGATTTTACAGAGTTGGAAGGAAACCCCTGAGGACAAAGTTCAGGAAATTTAGAAGAGGTCAAAAAGTGTTCCTTTGACAATCCCAAAGTAAAAAATTGATAAGGGCTCTTAAGTTCATTTTGTTCATTCCTTCCCAGAAAGAAAGAATTTATAAAGAAAAAAAAATATCTCCTTTCTTTCAGTTTACAGTTTCCAGGTTGAAAATTATTTCATCCAACCTTGTCTGTTATATGTAGGGCATGATAGATTTGTAATTGCCAGAGGCACACGATCAGTACAATACAAAATAATAAAATGCTGCATAAAGAGAGCACTTGAGACAGTTTGGACATGCTTTTTGTTTGCAGCAGCCTCTCCAGGCCCAGTGGTGTGACCCAGGGGCTCAGCTCAGTTCTTACCCCAAGGGCTGCTTTCTCTTCCTTTGTTGCAGGTCTCAGCGAAAATCGTGGCCAACCTTCACTGGAGCTTATCTTCATCAATGAGGAGTAAGAATGAACCCTGTACATCAGGACTGGAGATTTGAGCCCTACACAGGTTGCAATGAGAGGAGCCCAGGAGTAGAGCCAGGAAGGGCAAGCAGAAGCTTACAAGGGAATGTTTCACATGTGACTGACAAGGAAGGCTTACATGATAAATGGGATTAATGTAATGGTCTGGATCTCAGTAAAGCTTCAGAGTATTCATTACTTTTTTTAACATCATGAACATTTTAGGGAGAAGGAAAATGTTTCTCGGGATTTGAAAGCTCTTTTGAAGTCTGTGTTTTTTGCTGTGGAAGAGAGTGCTGTCCACAGACTTTTATTTCTGTTCCCCTTAAGGAACAGTGATGGAGAGGATCCAAATACATATGGAGTGACCACAGGACATATCCTGAGGGAATCACTTACAGAGCATTCCTGAAGGAAGTCTGAACTGTCTGCATTTAAGAGAGATATGAGAGTGGGAGGGGAGGGAGGTGGGGCGATGGTGGGAGGGAGAACCAACAGAAGAACAATCTTCCTTCCCCAAAAAATTTGTAAAAGATTTCTTTAAATATAGACAAATTTTTTTTTGAGGTTTGAAACACTGACAGTTTCAACCAGGTCTCTATTTCAGGTAGCATCTAGTAAGATGAAAAGGGTAAACCAAGCAATAAACTAATTTCTTTGCCAAATTATCAAATTAATCATCAGTTCAAGATACACAAGGGAATACACAAAGCTGATATCCTAGAACTGAATTACAGGGTAAATCCTGAGGAGCATCTTCTTATGAAGTGTGAGAAAAAAATTGCTCGGTCCCTCCTGGAGCTCCTTTTATATCGTTCACAACTTTTCCTAATAAAAGAGAAACAAGTTCTTGTTTCTCTTACTTTAAATTTTAATTTATTTTAAAACAAACATTATCATTCAAACAGCATAGGTTGATGACTTTAAGTTAACTTGCAAGATCTGAACAGTTATCTCATTAGTCTAGAGACTACTGGGTTCTCCAGTATTCCCTCTGTTGTCTCTTTTATATCCCAGCCACATTTTGTGCACAACATAGAACTAAATTTTCAGTTTGGCATTGTACCATTAATCCCTTTAAGCCCTGTTGAAGAGTATATGTTGGATATTTCATACAGAACTATTGTTAAAATAGTATTACTTGAAAAAGAGCTTAAAATTTGGCAGGAAAAGTAGCACATCTTCTGGAATTAAGTTCAGTGGATTGTTTTCATGGTCCACGTGCCAAAAAGTTGGCAGAGGAAGAACTTGACTAGAATAGACAGCAGTAGTGCTGGATTACCTGGTGATTAACTCCACTGTGGATGGAGTCCTCTCCTAGAATGGGGTATATATAGTACAAAGAACACAAATGTTTTCTTTCATGGAAGTGGAACACCATTGCTACACAGCTAGAGATAGAGCTGTGAAACACAATGTGACATATGGGGCCAAGAGACCACATAAGAGGTTCTAATAAATGGTATTCACCATTAAATAGGCACTAGTTCTCCTGCAGAGGTTGCCCCTCCTACCCATGATGTGTGCCTTTTGAAGGAGCTGGGTGAACAGGCATTTATAAAGTATATTTTCCTTTCTTTGTTTTTAGTGCTACTACTACTGACTTCAGCTCCTTGATGCACTCAAAGGTATTGTGATAGGTAGTATCTTCTGAGCTACATTGTCTTCTAATCCAGGAACCATCAGAGCAGAATCCACACAGCTCTGAAAAAAACCTGTTTTTTCCTTTATTTCAAATAAAAGTTGGTTGTTGGCAGAGAGTATATATTGCAGAACGTCCTGCTTTGTATTTAACCCAGCAGCCTGCTTGCACTGATCAAGCTGGGGAACATTAGCTCATAACAATAACAACATAAGTACATAACAATACAAGTTTATTGTACTTATTGCTGGAGATACCGAGATCCAGTCAGTAAACTAACAATTCCATATGTTTTCCAATAAATTCAGATATGATCTTTTATTGTCCAGGTGTTTCCAGCTTCAACAGCTGAGACATCTCAGTTACTAGAACAGACTACACATATGTCAAAGTCACAGCCTCTAGCAAGGGACCTGTTAGATTCTCCTACATGACAGAAGAAGAAAACCCAATCTCATTCTAATCTGACTCTAGGATCAGTTTAAAATAAAAAGGGTTGTGGGTTTTTTTTTTTACTTGCTTTTACTTTTCCAGTGTAAAATTTACAGTTGATCTTTTAGTGGGTTGGATTTTGTTGTTTTAGTTTCAAATTAATTTTTTTTTTTTTTTCTCCAAAGTGTACTACCAATGACCTTTAGGAGGCATCATAAATTCTTTTCTGAATGCCCCATGGAACATAAGAAAGGCTAATCCAAAGGTATTTGTCTCCTTACAGAGTATGAATGGTGTGCCCATGATAGCCAACCCTATTGGCACAATGAATTCTCAGAGCAATGGGCAGCACCTACCCCAGGTAAGGAAGTGTTAGACCTGGGGTGTGAGGCAAAACCCAGATGTGAATATCACCTGCTCTCCACTGTTTCATATTTATTCCTTGTAAGTTGTGTTACATGGAATCATTCTCCATCATCTTTCCTCAGCCCTGGCTTGGTGCTTTGCTAGTTCTTGCTCCCATTTAGATATGCTGAGCACAGATATGTTAAGAAGACCCTCCCCCAATAGCTGGGACAATTAATTTAGCTTTACATTCATTAATGTGATCCTGAGTTTCCCTTATTATTTGAGTGTACTAGCCACTTTGTTTCTGCAAATCCTCCTTGTAAAATAGCCCAACTCAAAAATAACAATTCCCGACACATACAATTCTACTCAGAACAAAAACAGCAGCAGGCATGGACCATTAATCTGTTCAGTCAGTTTGTTAGGTAGTCTTAGTATCCACCTGCTTTTTGTCTTCCAAAATATCCACCCTCAAAATCCTTCATCAAATTAGTCCATTACAGTATTTCTACTTCTCTTGAGTGGATCCAAGAAGAGATTGCTGTTTGGATGATAATCTGTATCTTAATCTTATTAGTATCTTAATGGCATAAATTGATGTGCAAGAATGAATAGGCTAAAACCAATACATGGATTTGTATTCACAGTTCAAAAGAATCTAAGTATATGTTTCCAAAATGCACTGGTCCCAATACTTAATTTTCTCTTACACCCATATTAATAAATGTCCAATTGTTATTTTTAACTAACATACTCATTTCACTTTTAACCTAACAGGGTTTTAGTAATTTTTATCCTCACAATGATGATGAACCTATAGCATGACTGATTTTACTAGTTAAACCAAAATAAAAATCTATCTGAACCACTTTCTGCCTTTTTCCTCATCCCTAAATTACAGCCCTGGCTTGCACGTGACATGCCTTGAAGTACTGTACCTTTCTTCCCACTACAACAACTTGATTTACCAAAATAGATAGTTTCCTGTTACTGATGAGAAAGTTTCTTCTGCAGTAAGATTTTTTGGCATCTTTTTCTTCCATATCCTCATTGTCCAGCCTTTTTCATGCCTAGGGTTGAGACCCCTAGCACTCCATTCCTAATTAGAAGCCCTGAGCTCTTAAGTGCAAAAAGTTCACCAAGCCTTTGTCTCATAAGCCTCAAGGATTATGGATTCCTACTCCTGCAGTGCTGGCATCCCATCCCTGCAGCCTTTAAAGGCTTTTTGTATCCCACTGGTATTCCAGCCAGAGCCGGAGTTGGCCCAAATCTTAGCCAGAAGTCCGATTACTGTTTGTCCAACATTTCTGCCACTGACGAGGCAATTTCAGGCCCCTGGACAGGTTTCCAGGTCTGATCCCAGTTAAGCCTTGTGAAGAAAAAAACTGCCTTCTCTTATACAAACCTGTTGTTTCTCTGGGATGTGTATCACTATGGCATTAGAGCAAGTTGTGCTGCTGTTCTGATCTTCTACTGTCTGTATCTACTATCCCCTCACAGGCTCAGATACTGGTCCTTCCTCCTGAACCCTCAGATCTAGGCCTGACTACCAAGTACCGGTATCAAACCAGACATGACCACATGGTCTGTAAATGCCTCTCACTGAGCATCTCCTATGCAGCAACCATTGGGGGACTGACAACCATCATAGGGACCTCCACCAGCCTCATATTCTTAGAGCACTTCAATAAGTAAGTGATACTGTGATTTCGTGAGAATGGTGGGTGGTGTTCCCCATGGGTTTTTACTAGCCTCAAGGAACCCTCCTAAGACACTCTCTCTCAAGAAAAATTTGCTGCCTCCTCTAATGTTATTACTAATGGTTAATGTTTGAAAGGGGAAGTTTAAGTTAACACATATCTGTATCTTTCTCTCATGCAAAATAAAAATCCCTTAGCATGTGGTAACATTTAGGTTTTTTCCTGCAACTTCTTTTGATTTGAAAAGCTGATCACCGTGAAGGCAGCAGGCCCTCTGGAAAAGCAAACACTGAAACCATGAAGACATAGAAAGGAAGACAAAGGAATACTCACACAAGAAGAAATGTCATACAATCAGCTTTGAGTTGTTCTCTGAGTTCTCAGAAAGTGAGTTCTTACAGTGAATTTAAAGGCATCACTAGTGGTACTTCGGCTGCTCAACATATAGTGCAAAAATAAATAAACTTTGAAATTTGGCCTTATACATTTACTTCAGAGAAGAAGAGAAGCAGCTCTTTGAGTATCTAAACATTTCCTCTGTCATATGCCCAGGACTCTCAAAGACATGAATGTTTCATTGGCAAAGACATTAATGTTTTTCTCTCAGAAGACTGCTGGTACTTCTACCCATGGACTGATCTGCATCCAAGCTCAGACCGATTCTGATTGTCTACTGCTGCCTCTACTGCCATGATATCCTTCATGTCTCTCTCTGAAGTGGTGGTAGCAAAGTTCAGAAGTCCTGCTCGATGCAAGGATTAGGATTTTACAGAATTTCCAAAGATCTTGCTTTTATGACAGTTGCATCAAATGCACACATCAAACACCTTTGCCAGAGCCCAGCAGAATGCAATCATCATTTGTGTGGTCCATGAGGAGCCATACACAGAGATTCTGAGTGTAATCATTCTAAAGTCTGCCAACACTAAAATGAGCTTTGATATAAACCATAAGTAGGGACAGAATTTCACTGCTGTTAGTAGTACTAGACAATCCAGGTCATCTGGTATTAAAAGTCTGAAGTGCTCTGTGGTTCATCTGTTGGTCAGGGGAGGTCAATGATTGACATTTTTTGGCAATTAGTTTCACTATGCATATGTAATGCAGCTGTTGCAAATGCATACTGATGGAATCTTTCTATCATGCCATGACTAGACACATATATGTGTGTGTGTAAGTATGCACATTTGAGATCCTTTTAGTGCTCTAACTTCTTATGCATCCTCTTTTTTTCTCTACAGTCAATACCCCAATGCTGAAGTGGTGAATTTTGGAACCTGGTTTTTATTCAGTTTCCCCATCTCCCTCATCATGTTGGTGCTGACTTGGTTCTGGATGCATTGGCTGTTCTTGGGTTGCAAGTGAGTGAAGTTTGTTCAAGGTGCAAGGACTGTGAAAGCAGGACATCTGCAGTCCTCTAGAACATGTCTCATAAAGTTACTTTTGATTAGCAAATGACAAAATTTAAGGCACGATTTCCTTCTTCTTGCCAGAACAATTATCAGAGGAAATCTTACTGCTTAGCTGTGCTGCATAGACAGCTCTATACAGTATTGTTGCTCGAGAGTGAAGTGCCTAGGTATTGCTGATAGAAATCTCTATTAAGCATTCAACTGTTCTGGTTTTTTTTTTTTACTCTTATTACAACAAGGATTCCCTTATGGACCAAAAATCTTCTGAAGTGTTCTTTTGGAAAAGCACAGCTTAAAAGATGAATAGAAAAACAACTGCAACTGAGCAAGCTACTTTTCAGATCTGTCCCCAGATCAATGAAATTAATGTAAGACCAGTTTAAATTAAATTTAAATATACTCCATATATATTTATCTTTAAAGCAGAAAAGACTCACAGCCTAAGAGACAAAAACATTTAAAACTAGGAAGTCCTGAATCCCTAGAACAAGAAAAAGGCTCAGTCTTCTAGTTCATTTGTACCATGTATTGTCTTTACAGAGGTACTCAGCAAAGTTAATGAAAATTACCTAAATGTGTGCATTTAAAGTGGATTAGTTAATCAGCATTAAATTGTGATGCAGATACACTTACTCAGAATTAAAGTGGCCTTAATTTGATTTAGTTTATTCTTAAAAGTAAACTGAACTGACATCACTATTTAACCTAAGACAATGAATAAATTGATAATGACTTCTGTTTGTTGCTGACCTTGACTAGATTTGAAGAAGTAATTTAGAGGTGAATGGCTCCATGCCCCTTTCAGTCAGTCTCCTGAGTCCTGTAGTTCCAAATTAAAAGGCTAATAATAGTTCCTCCCCCCTTTTTTTTTTAATCTTGAGAAGAAACAGGTCCTAACATGACCCTCAATTACATTTTTTATTTTAAAGTATAATTGAAATTCCACATTGCATCCAAGACCTCATGCTGATTAATGTTGTTCTAAATAATACCAGAGACTGAAGCATTATCGACTTTTTGAGAAGTACTAGTTGATTCCAAGCCTCCTTAATCTCTGACTGCTATTCACTGCAGTTCATTAAAGAACATATTGTGTTCAGAGCTGGGCTACAATACTCTACCTTCACATCCTCCTAAGCCTGGAAACACTTGAAACATGTTGAAACAGCTGCCTAATGCTTGTGCGTAAACGTTTAATCAATTCCTGTAATTTTCATGTTGTTTTCTTAGGAAGTTAAGTGTCATCAATCTATTCTTACTTGATCCAGCTGGAATAACATGTCAGGCTTGGTTTTAACATGTAGGCTAGGTCAAAAGTGGAAGAGAATGGACCCATCAAGTGATTTTTACCAACAAAGCAGAGCTAAGGGTAGAATCATTACTATGGAACTGGCCACTATAAACCACATAGCCCTTCTCTTTCAACCACTGCATTACTGTTGGTGGATTTTACTGGAGTCTAACAGCAAGGCTTGTAAGGAAATTTAAAGTACTTATAGGTGCGGGGCAGTGCTAAATGAGCTTAAAAAAAAGTGCCCACGTGAAACAAAAAGCTTGGTTAAGTCTTTTTGTTAAACAGGCCTGTCTGGAGCTTGAGCTATGCAAATTCCTTTAAGAATCTGGCCTTAACCAGATACATGGATAGAGATTGCAGTCCACGATTTGTCCACTGCTACCGCTTGGGTCTCTAGTGCAATAGAGACCAAACAAGATATTAAAATAGCAGGAACTATAAAAGCACCCATTAAGATCTAAAAGAGTTATAAAAGTTCCTACTGCTGTTGCTTCTTTTAGACTGTCCTAGACCACCCCCACACCCACACACCATGTGACCAAAGATTTGTGGCTCAAAGCACAGCAAAGTAATGCTATTGGAATGAATAAAAGGAAAGTGTTAAAGTGAGCTTGCAAGTGTCTTAATTTCAATTAGGAATGTCCATGCTTTGTTATAGGAGGAAGGCAAACTGAATAAACTAACCTTCATACAAACGTATAGCAGGATGAATATATCCAGCTATGAAATGTGCTTGTGTTTTCATGTCTCTGTGAGAACTCCAAGTGTTTTTTCCAGGACAAAATGCCAGCCTGACTGCCTTAGCCTTGTGGCAGAGGCAATATGATCCTGATCTGGCTGTGCCTGGTTTAGAAACAGCTAGTATTAGCAGAAGCAGACAGTCGTGGAAGGTAATGGGATCCTAAAGCACAGCTTTCCCTCATTACTTTCTGTGAATCCTGAACATTCAAGTCAAATATGGTCTCAAAATCCAGACCAGACCCCAAATATGTCGGATACCCGTGATCCAACTGGAAAGCACAGTTACCCCGTGAAAAATTTCTGTTGATAGCTGGCCTCTGCCACAATCTTTCAATGTGATGATAGAAATCAGCCATGGCTTGGAGGTTTCTGGCACCAGAAACATCTGGCCACCACCAGCTCTTTGAGGAAGCCTCCACAAAGGGAGCTCAGCCATGGCTCAAGAAGGCTCAATGACACCAGTCAGTATGAGTCAGAGCACCCTGGGGACCTTCCAACTATGTGTAGAATTGAATCTCAGAAGAACTTGAAACCAGAATAATCAAAGATCACATACAGTAAATTCCCTTCACCTTGGCATCAGGCCTTGACCCACTCTTGACTCCCAACCATCTTTGGTATCAGAATTTTCAGTTTACCTCATTGCTGGTTTTTTTGTTTGTTTGTTTTTTGGTGTTTTTTTTTAATTACTTTTTTTTTTGTGCCACTTTATGCCCTTGTCTAATTTTATTGTGCAATGTGTTTCAGTTTTAAGGAGACCTGTTCTGTGAGCAAAAAGAAGAAGACCAAACGGGAAGAAATGTCAGAGAGAAGAATTCAAGAAGAATATAAGAAACTGGGAAATGTTAGGTAAATCAGACCTGCCTTCCTCAGGAATTTGCCTCTCTAGGCAGAACCATCCTTACCTACATGTTGCACCCTTACCTACCTTAGCTCCATGTTGCATTTGGCTCGTGTAACTTAGTCTAAAACTATCAACCAGTTTTCTTTACTTCCAGGAAAGGAACTAAATGCAAAAATGAATAAAATCAAATACTTTGTTACAAGCATGGGTGTATTTAATAATTTATTTATGTCTGATGAAAAAGGACATAAAAGATTCACGTTTATACCAGGGTTCAAAGGTCACCTCAGTCAAGGTTTGTCTCTGCTTTTGAACAAAGTCATTAAAGGACCCCCCCTTCTCAATTCAGGCACATACTTATTTTGAGCCTTGAAGTTCAGCAAAGGCTTTACCCCATGCCATGACTTGTCCAGCCCTCACATCTGCCAGTAATGTTTATGCATGACGGCAAGAAATGTCTCTTGAAAAGATTATTTCACAAGAGTTTCATTTTTCAAAAGGGATAATCCATCATAAAATCCCTTCTTCCCAAAACATTTCTGTGCTGTTCAGTTGAAATATTGGCAGGTAAATTGGCTGAATACATGGACTCTGAAACTAGACTGTTGTTCAGACTGTTTCCAAATATGAAATAATACTTAATTTAAATCTATGCTAAATTAAAAATCCTCAAGTATCCTTAAGTCACCTTGTGTGCACCATCTGTGCTAATTTACATTTCTTTTACTCTTAGGCTTTCTACACGTGTAAAAAATGTCGAGAATGTGTTTACAGTGGAATGCTAATATGAGCTTTACCTTGTGAACACATTTAATCAGATAATAATGCAAACACAGAACAAGCATTTAGGAATATTTTCCTCCAGGTCTTGCCCATGAATGATTGAATTGCAAATATAGATGGATATTTTTAGCCTGTTTTTTACTGCGTTTAAATGGTTCCCAGTTGGGAGCCAAATCTAGAATTCTTTAATGCAAACTAATCTTCCTTATTATTTTCCATATGTTTTTTATCCCCTTTTGAAGCCAGTTTCTACTTTCCTACTTCTTCTCGAACTTGTCCTAGGGTTTTCAGACAGACCTTGGATTTCATTCCTAGTTTGTTTGTTGAGTTTTTTTTTCTTTTATTTCTAGCTATCCTGAGATGGTGACTGGATTCTTCTTCATTCTGATGACCTTGCTTTGGTTTACTCGTGAGCCTGGCTTTGTACCAGGATGGTCATCTTTCTTTGAGAAGTAAGTAAAATTCCCTAAACAACTGCACGGGAATATGGCTTTGCTTCTGACTTTCTACAATAATTTTTGGCCTCAAGACATCATCAGCCAATTAGGATTTTTACTTTTTAAACTATATCTGTTCATATAGAGGCAAATTCTATTCTTTCTTGCTATAGAGACTGAATTAAATAGAGGAAGTAAATTAAACACATTTCAAGTGTAAAAGAATAAGAGGGTTGGATTTTGAGCTTTAAGCATTTTAGTGCATTCATAGAGAAGTTTCACTGCAATAGATTCAACTATAATTAAAATTAAAATATTTGGAAAAAAGTGTTTATCAAGAAAATGTCAATGTACAAATAGTACAGAGAATGGTGACTAAGCAAATAATTTTTCTTTTATTTTAAATAATATTGAAACAATTTACATTAAAAGTTACTATAACACACATTGCATATGAAGGAACAAGTGATTTGAACTTAAATTTTCTTTATATTTTTACTGTATAAAACTCATTCTAATTTTGACAAAAAACCAATTTCTAATACTGGTGTTTTTTGAAGATCACTAGAGTTTGGCACTCTGCAAAATACTTTTTCAGAAAGAATTGTAGACATTTAATTTCAAATCCATCTATAGTCCATTTCTAAAAGATCACTTGGATTTGGCTTTTCCCCAGAATGTGTTTACTGTTTCTTGCTTCTAGTAATCACACCATTTTTCTTCACCTCCAAGTTAATAGATTTGTAAACCAAAAGGAATTTCTTTTTTTTTCCTACTTGAATTTTAAAAATTGTTTATGACTGAAGTTGGCTACAAGAGTCAGTTTTTAATAAGCAGGGAAAAAAGTCCGATTTGTATCCTTAATATGCAGACATATTTTTCTGGGCTGTTAGTATGACTTCAGATGTGGAAATTAAACTGAACCTGCAAAAAATTTGCTTGGAGCTTTTATCTTGTTTAGAAATGTTTCTGTTAATGTGTTTTCATGACAATCTCACTGTTTCTTTCCTAGGAAAGGTTACCGGACTGATGCCACTGTCTCTCTATTTCTTGGTTTTCTCCTTTTCCTGATTCCAGCAAAAAAGCCGTGCTTTGGAAAAAGTGAAAAAGGTGAGGAGGATCCAGCAAGAAAGAAAGCTGGTACATTTTCCAGTGTCTTTAATGACACTTCATGTTTTCTGCAAAGATTTCTAAGAAAAGACTTTTAAGTTGGCAAGTCAGGGTTCAGTTTCTCCTCTGATAGCAGCCCTTCCTACATCAGACCTCCTTTTCCTTTGCTATAATTCATATTGTCTCATTCAGAGGATGACAAATAGGCTTTATATCTGAGACTGCCACCTGTTCTGTGCTAGTAGAATTATTAAAATTTAGGACTGAGCTTTAGGATTGGTTCAGATAGAGTTTTATATTAAAGAACTGTAACGCAAAATCAGCTGAAGATAAAGCACCAGTAAAGAAATTGGTTATCACTTATACATCAGAAATCACTGATAAAGTCCTCAGATAAACACAAAAGACATCAGAAAGTGCCATACAATGTTCCAACTTTGTCCAACACTTCTCTCATAGTCTTCTTGATAATAATAATGATTGTGATTTCACATTCACATTTGGGTAGCACTCAGTGGTAGTGATCAGCTTGATGTGCCAGGTTTTCAGCAGTGCTGAAGCACTATTTTTCTATGGAAATAGAATTATCTGTTAGAGTCTTATATAGACATTACAAATGTGTATATATATATATATATATATATATATATATAGTGTCATATATAATACAGGTTTTAGGGAAAAAAAATGGCACTTTAACTCCTCCTTCAAGAAAATACTCAGGCATCTAAAAAAAAAATGTCCTAGGGCATAAATGCACTTTATTGGGCTTCAGGACCTACTTCGTAGCCCTTCTTTGGTAACATAATCCCATTGTAACACCACCTTTGTAGTCTACAGATATTTGTACATATATATGTACAACAGAGCCCAGAGTCCCTCAAAAATCTATTAACTGAAACTCACGGGTTTACAACTATTCACATCAAAAGAGCAGCCAAGGGGAAGTCAGGACATTTGGAGTTAATATGTTGTGTTTTCTGAGGCCAGGCTAACCAGAGAAACAGGCTATGCTCTGCTTCTTTGCCTTTCTCTCAGATAGTTCTCAAGATAATTCCCATGCACATTCAGTTAATCCTAGGAGTGTGAAAAATGTGACGATCTTAGAAAAGGGACAGTGTAATACTGTTCACACATTTGTTTTATTTGATATAGGAGGTGGTGAAAAGTCAACAGACATTAACACAATGGATCCCATCATTACCTGGAAGGACTTCCAGAAGACCATGCCCTGGGAGATTGTAGTGCTGGTTGGAGGAGGTTATGCCTTAGCAGCTGGATGCAAGGTCTTGATTTAGATTTTTATCCTCCTTCCTAAAAGAATCATTAGCCTGCACTTTTACCCCTTTGCATGCTCCCTAGTTTGGATTTACGATGTGGATACTTCCCAGTTTGTATTTAACCTAGTGCCTCCTCCCTGCACTGGGTGGACAGCTTGTATCTAACAAAAAGATGGCTAGAGCTCAAGACATTTGTGTAAGCATCTGCTATTTCAAGTGCTTCAGAACATCTAGGTATTCATGGCATGTCTGCAGGGCCAGCAGGCACGACAGAATCTGAGGGACATCTCACACTTTCTCAACTAACAGCTAACCAACACAGGGGAAACAGTTCTCACTGGATGCTCCTCTTTAGGCAACTGAGGGAAACTCCTCGTGCTGAATGGACAAATCATACTCGAGGCCCTGCTGACTATATCTACACTGAGTATAATTCAGAAATACACATTCAGCTCTCCTACAGACTCCTACATGTAGACAACTACAACTGTGCATCTTAATCTCAAAATTAATTCTACCCGGAAGGTGCAATCCTTTATCACCAATTTCCTATACTCCAGTTCACATGCTGAAGAAAGAGGGAAGATCAGCCTTGGTACGTTTTTAATGTTATTAACTGCCAAATGTACCTCTTCCTTACTATTTATTAGGCACTGCAGTGAAATCCAGTTTACTGAACAAAAGTAAATACAGAAAGCATTGACCTTAACTTTGTTTATTTGTTGGAGGGACTCTGTCGTAAACTGCCACAAAGAGAAGAATCTGTTTTACAAACATACCAAGTATTTAGCAATTCTTGTGCCTCTGTCCTTTCCCCAGACCTCTGGCCTCTCTACGTGGATTGGACGTCAAATGCTCTCCCTGAGCAGCCTTCCCTACTGGGCTGTAACCCTGCTGGCTTGCATTTTGGTATCCCTGGTAACAGAGTTTGTTAGTAACCCAGCAACTATAACCATCTTTCTGCCTATTTTATGCAGCATGGTGAGTTAAAACAATGACATTTTTAGTCTGTTCTTCCTGAGAGGCTTGTGGGAATGTTTCAGGATGTCAGGGTATTGGCACTCTGTTCACATGAAACTCAGCCCCAGTTCCCAAGCTACTGCTCTGTAGTCTATGGATTAGGAAAAATAATAAACTTGGGCAGCCAAAAGCACATTTTAGCACCAAGGAATTTATTTAATACCTCTCAGACAAAGTGAAAACTTAGCTCCTGCACTAAGTACAAGGAAAGGTTCAGTCTAAGTACAAAAAAGGTTATGATACAATCAAGAATTTCACATAAAACTTGAGATACTTTTATCAAGATTATTTTAAATGTCTTGTTCATTAGTTAGAAGTCACTCCCTACTTTTAAGAAAAGACTAAAGTACTGAATTTTATTTCATATTTAAAATTGTTCAAGGGGGTGAACTGGTAAGCATACTGTCTTCCAACATGAAAACTAGAAATGTTTGTAAGGAACAGAAAAAAAGTCAGGATACTGTTGACTAAAGCAGAGGAAAGAGATAATAATTTCATTTTATACTGGAATAGCAGTTACAGAAAAACGTCCTGTTTCTTTTCATTTATGTAATGTGAAGCTTTTCTTACAAAGAAGGCAGGTTATTAATCATCTTTCCACATCATAACAAGTTTAGTGGACTGTTCCAAAGCATGTGAATGGCTCTGAGATAATATGAAGATATGGTCAGATGAAAATAAGTAATTATGTTTGTGTAGCTTAGGAGTTCGGATTTACTTCTGCTCCATGCAGAAAGAGACTCTCCTAAAGAAAAGTTTATACCAGTAATCTACTTATAGTAGTCTGAACTGCCAAATTAAGGCAGTCTCTCTTTTTTGATTGCAAAAGTAACCTAGAAACACTTCCCTCCCTCAAATGATGTTGGCTTTGGAAATACCCTTCCCTTTTCCTCAGACATAAAACTAGGCCAAATCAGTGTAAATGAAAATGCAAAACTGCATCACTGCTGAAGACTGGAGCAGCAGAACAATTCTTTTAGCCCACTGTATAGAACCTTCCATCATCACTGCCTTCTCATCATGCAAGTTTGGGCCATGAACAACAGGAGGACTTTATAGAATTGTCCCAGCATATTCAGCAACTGAAAGAAGTTCTTCATGTTAAATGAAGACTGAAGTGTTAGATCCATAAGATACAATACAGAATGACACAGAGAGCAAGTGGAAGAACAAAGGTTGCTTAATAGTAGCAAACCCCATCCCTACCTCAGTGTGAAATATCCCAGGAGAGATCCCTGGACCATGACCAGCTCCAAATTACAGCATTTCTCTAAAAAAAAGAAAAGCAACCAAGCAAAAATTGTTTCACACTTAAATTTAGAAACTAGGGAGATGAGATTCCCAGAATCTTGACAGAGAGGGTCCTTTCATCTGAGTTGTCAGGAGAGGATTTTATTGATTAGACAAAACACCTGTCTCCCTCTCTTCTTTCAGTCAGAAACCCTGCTTATCAACCCTTTATACACTCTGATTCCTGTCACCATGTGTATCTCCTTTGCGGTGACGCTGCCAGTGGGTAATCCTCCAAATGCCATTGTCTTCAGTTATGGGCACTGCCAGATTAAAGATATGGTGAGTCTTGAGACTGGGTATATCGTCCCATGCTTCATGCAACTTCAACACCAGCTAATAACAGTAATGATTATACTGGTGCTAATATAAAATTATATTGATCTGCCATGCAACTGAGCTGTCAGGTTAAGTACATCCACAAATCTGCTGTAGAATACATGCATTTATCATCTTTATTTTTTTAACGAATGTAATGATCTAAAGAGCTTTAGGAGTACCCAATCCTTTGCATTGACATGTTAAGATAAGCAAAGAAAGCATGAGAAATTAGATTATCACATAGCTCCACAGTAAGTCATGTATCACCCTGCTGTGTGTAACTCCCCACTCTGATTATCTGATTGAGAAGTTCAAGAGACAAACTGAGCAGTTTTCCAATGAGCTTTCTAACAGTCCATCTCTGATGATCACTCCTGAATACTTCCACAATCTTATACTTTGATACATAGTACTCACCGTGCCTTTTTTGGCTCTAGATATCACTGTAGAGAACTTACCAGACCAGATATGTCAGTATGGACCCTACTGATTTTTTTTTTTCCTATGGTAACTGGTTTTGATTAAGTTATTGTGCTCTGATGCATTTTACTTTTGCAGGTGAAAGCTGGTCTGGGTGTAAATCTGATTGGCCTGGCTGTTGTCATGGTGGCAATTAACACCTGGGGAATTCGACTCTTCCAGCTGAATTCCTTCCCAGAATGGGCAGTGGTCAGTAACATCACTAGCCAAATATAATGTTCACTTAAAAAAAAAAAAAAAAAAAAAGAAAAGAAAAAAAAAAAAAGTGCAAGACCAAAGTGAGTTGGGACAAAATATTAAACGTCCATTGTGCATATGAAAGAAAGAAGAAAACTTGTGTAAACATAGAACCTGGATCCATAGCAAAACCATGAAGAAAATCCACAGGGACGGCTTCTGCAAAAGCTTTTCAGTTCTGAAAATCAGTGTGAGTTAAAAGGAGAGATTAGCTTTGCTCTGTCGTTGCTTTCCCTGGGATACCATAACTCGGAAAAAATCCTCTCCTTCAAATTATCTGCCCACAGCTTTTTCATACCTTTGAAGGATTACACAGGACTTGTGTAAAGGACTCAAATAGTGGAAGACAAGTACACATACTCTGGTGTACTCAGCAGTGGGATATTCAGTCCTACCATTGACTTCTACAGTGAATCCAGGGGGAGTCTTATTCCCAAACCCAGGGTTTTATAAGCCTACTTCTTTAAAGGCAAATTATTCTTCTTCTTCTGAGGTGACCTGTCACTGTGGTGTAAAAATCCACTTTCCCACCTAACCCATATGACCTGGACCGAAATACAACTACCAGCTACAGCTCTTCAAAGGGATAACAGAAACCTCCAGAGAGGAAGGCAAAGTCTCCTTGGAAGGAGATTTTTTTTTTTTTTTCCCCACAGCACTAGTATAAATTTCCAATATTGCAGTACTTGCAACCTCTGCTTTGGAAGGAAGAGTTTCAGAAAGAGAAAGCTTTGTTCAATACCTTTTTTTATCATTGTTGAAGTGGGAGTTCTTTCAGCAGGGGAAGCTATAACCAGCAAAACCTTACCAGGCCAAGACACCCACAGCTCTCCTCTCTCTTTGTCATGCAGTTACAATTCCCCTGACAGAGAAAGTACAGTCTCATCCAAGATGGCACTTAGTGCTGCTCCATGAGTAAGAAGGGAGAGGGCTGAAGTGGAGTGGTGCTGGTGTATCTCCTCATCCTGTGCATTCACTTAAACATCACGCCCACCTGCTCTCTACCAGCCCAGAGAACAGGAACTTCAAATGTAGGAAAATCTGACACAGAACAGATAACTACCAGACCAAAATCCCTGCTTTTCTGACTGGATCCCTGTGATATTCAGAAAATTTCATGTATTATGTCCTCTTTTTAATAATTGCTTTAATGTCAATACATTTATGCTGTATATTCGGATGACTGGATCTCATATAATCACACTCTTCAGACATACACTTTAATGGATGTTCATGCTTTCCACTTATAATCTAGGCTCTCTAGTTGCTAGTGTGAATGTCTATTCTGCAAAATAAAATGTCAATAAAATAAATTATTCACTACTGCACATTCTGGTGCTCTGTGAGAATATAAATAGACTATGTTTCACCTTATAACCCACCAAGCCCTTAGGGAAGTAGTGTTGAGACAGCAAGAGGTGTTGGTTTACTGCTTCTGTCAAAACAGAGGGATCCCACAGACTTGTCTTGGAAATAAACAGATACACTAAGAGGTCATAGGATGACAGAGGGGGAGCAAAGTGGGGAAATCACAAAAGCATGTCTTAGCCCCTCTACCAAAAGCAGGAGGCAGCATCCGTTAGCAAAACAACTGCTGTTCCTCGTGACTCCTGCATATTTCATTTTGAAAAGCAAGGTCTTTGTGCATCAGTGGCTCAGTGCATCCCCACGCCCTCCTAATCTGTGAAACAAAACCTCAGCCTCGCTTTTTCAACTCTTCTTAACTCACCAGTTCCTGTGTTCCCTCTCTCCTGAGCCTGCTGCTCTGCTGTGCTCCAGCATACAAAGCCCACACGTGCCTCTGGGATCCAGATCCTCCTCACCACTTCAGCAGCACTCCCTTGGTGTTTTCCTGATCCCCAGCAAAAGGCAGAACCCAACACGGAGCTCAAAGCAGAGGCACGCAGGCCTCCCCTAGCACAAGCTCCACCCTAAAGCCACTGGAACAGGAGCTAGAGGGTGCGATGCCTGCTCACCAACATGGGCATGTTTCTCCATGAACAAGCACTTCAGTAGCTGGGGCAATACCAACAGTCCTGTCCCCACACACAACAAGCAGAACATCTCTCTGTTCACAGTGCCTAATGGTTACTTTCATCATTCTCCCCATGCCAAGAAACTCTTTCTGTCTTGCTTTCTTCCTAAGGCTTTAGCTGCTCTGCACCTTTTACTGTGTACTCATCTTCCAATCCTTTTCACTTCACGCTTCATCCACCAGCACCTTCAGATTGCCTCACTGCTCAGCAACAAATCACTTTCTACCCTCCTAATACTAATTTTTCGGCTCTGCTCAGCTCCCATCACACCGTGCTATCCCAGACCTTTCCCAGGGGATAAGAAGACAAGATATTCTCATCTGTCAGAGATGAGCAGCTGGCATGCCAGTCAGCTTTAGGGAGATCTGGAATTACTCACAAATCAAACAGGGTGTCCTGCAACACTGTTCAGTAATAACAGCAATAACAGTAGGTAAATGGAAACTGCTTGGTGCTGTGTTGCACATCACAAGCAATATTTCTTCAGAATCATTTCCAGGAGGCGCTGGCATAGTTTGTGTCTCACGAGACTGGTGCAGAGAATTTGGAGTGGACTCAGGCAATGAATTTCCCCAACAGACTGTTTCTCTTGTGGTGCTCTTGGCACATTTCCGTCTTCACAGCTGCTGGCACTCGTCATTGCCGTGTCCCATTAGGCAGCTGCAGGAAGGCAGTGTGCTGTGTTGGCCCTTTTTCCATATCAGATCAGTCAGTGCATGCCCCATGGCCAGATTCCACCTTAGATACACAAGTATACATAGCAGCAGGTGAAGAAGCTTAGGACTGGGCAAGCTGCATGGCTCATAGTGTGACAGCAATGGTTGCTGATTGCTTTTTTGTTTGGTTGGTTTTGTGTTTTTTGTTTTGTTTTGGTTTTGGTTTTGGTTTTTTGTGGTGTTTTTTTTTTTTTTTTTAATTATAGTAAATGGCAAATGCACAAAAAAGTGGGAAATTTTCAGAGGTAATTTATAGTACACTGTCACTCGACTTCAAATTTGCCTCTACCAATAACCAAAGCAGAAGTATTTTCTTAAGAAGGGATGCAAGCCTGATTTCAAATTCAGTAATTTCTAAATGCTTTCAAGATTCATTTTTCAAGATTCAGCACATACACTGAGTCTTAAAAACAAAAGTTCTGCTGTCAGCTCAGAATTTAAGATTCCTATCTAAAGAGTAGAGCCACATTAACTAGTAGCAGTACACTATTTTTATATTTTTATATTCCCTTTTACTAGAATCCTAATAAGGCTATATATATTTTTTTTTTCATGGTGATATAAAACCTGAACAATTTAACTGAAGTAAATTGAGGTGATTTATACTGAGGAATTATTCATTCTGTAGCCAATAATGTTTTATTTCTCAGGGAAAAAAGCAGAGCATGATAGCTGTACTTAATACCTATACATGGGCTGTTCAGTTCTCTCTGGTTTGCAGAAAATGTGAATAATAAATAGAATTTAAAACACGCCCTTATACTGGTTTTATATATATATATGTGTGTGTGTATATGTATATATATATATAAGTTGATTAATATCTTATGCCTTAGATTGTGTCTTTTGGCCCAAAAGGTGCATATGACAAAGAAAGGCTCTAAACTGTATAACTAAATGTTGCAGCATCCCTGTTTTCGCACAGAAAACCAACAGAATGTTCCACTCCAGCATTTGGGCTCACAGGGTAGGAAAGTTACTAATATAGTTATGGTTTGAGCCAGTGATTTACAGGACTGAGGTATTTAGGTATGTTCCAGATGTATTAAAGGCAAGCCAGAACTGACTTTGGAAGGCAATTTATGAGGTTTGTTTTTATTTTCCAAGAAAGTAAAATTGATCAACTGTGATTAATGCAGATTTCAGGTTAAAAAGGCAGATAACCTCCACAATTATTTTATGTCAGTGCAAATTCAATAAAAATTTCCTTGGCTTGGGATTTTTTAAAATAAATGTTAACTTATACCACCAAGAAGTTTAACAAATAAAACTACATATCTCTTCTTTTGTCCCTCTGAGGTAAAAATAAAAAGAACTGTACAGGAAACTTTCCCTGGATTTTACCAGCAACATACACCCTCCCATATCCACCATCACTTCTTAATATTCAAAGTAATTCTGTACCCTATACAGAATATTGATACTGATTTTTACATACAAATATCAATGCACAATCTTGTTTCTGCAAACACAGGTATAACCTAGGCACTATGAAATCAACACCTTATTACTTCTGAAAATTCCAGTTTCTTTCTTCTCAATGTTTCAGTTTCACCAGGGATGGAGCAGACATCATGAAACAAAGGGGCTGTGGTTCTGTGACATAAAACAGAACCACTGAACATTACTGAAGTTCTGTGAGGTATATCCACCATCTTCATTTGAATTCTGGTACCCAGTAAACTAATAATTAGCTTTGCTATCTGGAATTTTGTACATTTTCAGTTCTAATCTTTTATGTGTTCAATGGAAGATGGTCTTAGAAGAGCCTTAGGGCAGCATTTTCCATCACAGGATAATAGTCTCAATCCACAGTAAATATTTTATAAGTCTGTTAGTAGCTCATATATTCCTTTCCTCCCGTTTTGCCTTGAACCTTCAGCTCATAGGACACATCTCAAAAGAATCAATAAATGAAAACGAATACAACTGGTTTTAGCAAAGGAAGGAGGACTACATATTTTAGCTGGCAATCCCAGCTATCCACACAGACATTTGAAATGGGCAGAAACTCAGAGGATCCTTATTAAATGTGAAACTTGCTCCTATGTTTGTTCACAGCACATCCATCCTTTGCACCCTGCTATGACACCACCGCATCCAAAGCACTCTGAGCCCCCAGATGCAAGATCTGCATCAAGCAGTCATTATTTGTGCATACCCTCTGCCCTCTGAAAGATTAGGTTAAAGTGTAGTATCACCTAGGATAACCTGAGGTGAGGTAAAATGTTATAGGGTAGTTGCAAAGCCGACAGGAACTGTGTTATAACGTTATCCAGATTTGCAGCTGACTATGTGAGAGACACAAACCCAGCTTGAGCTAAAATGGAAAGTGTTGCAAACAGTGTGAAACACTTCAGAAGTCCTGTCTTTAATATTAATGAGCATATATTGTTTCTACAGCATTACAGCTGTAGCTCATTCCCTTCCTAATATGATGGAAAAAACCCCCAAACCCTAACATCTGCTTGGAATGCTCAGCTGAAAAGAGCTCCAAATTACACTTTTAAGAGTAACACTGGACTGTTTGGCAACAAATACAGATATTTTGAATATTATTTCCCTTCTCATTCTCATGTAAAGAAAGGGAAGAACATAAAGCATGTTTGAGGAAAGAAATAATCCAATTTTAAACAGTAACATGATTTTATATGGCAAGCAAAGAAATGCAAATGGGTTAGAGCCAGTATTTTTCAATGCTCTGCTCAAGAATAGGAAAGAAAAATGTGTGAGGGTGGGGAGGAAGTTTAGGGAAACTAAGTTCATCATATCCAGGAAAGCATCAAAACAGCTGTGCAGTGCTAACTCACTCTGTGGAAAAGCTTTTGTGCATGGAAGAAAATTCAGTCAGTAAAAGCTAAACCTTACTGCACTTTGTTTGTGAACTGCCTTCACCAAGCACATTCTGGGTATCTTCAACACATACTACTACCACAAGGTTTCTGATAGTTAATGTTAGTCAGTAAAACCACTTCTCCTTGTCTGAGTTTTTTTGAGTGTTTACCCAAGGAAGAGTTGGTAGCATCATACTATGATTGTCTGTCTTGGAGGTGGCTTTTAAACTTGTCAAATAACCCTTTGCAAAGACCGAAAGTTTTTATGTGAGCTACACCTATCATGGTAGAGGTGAAAGGAAGGATGAAAAATTGCAGATGAAATATTCTTTATATATATTTGTACTCCTGAAGGAGAATCCTTACATGAGGAATACTTTACTTTGTTGCATGACTGCATCGTGGAAGGACTCTGTCATCACCAAACTTTGGCAAAAGGTGCAAAAGTTTGATGTATAGTATTTTGCAAATTTGCCTTTAATGATTCAGTGAGAACTCCTGAACTTGGAATCCACTCAGATATATCCAAATTAAAGGCTTTGGGGTTGAGGCTGAAAATCATAATTGGTACATAGAGAGTCCTGTACTTAAAAGCGACCATGCTATGTTTATATCAAACAGTGCACTCCACTGGGTCCACTAATAGAGCAAAACAGTTAGAGTCCAAAGCTTGGGATATTTTCCTTCTGAATTTCTCCAGGCCTATCTAATGGACTAAACACCCATT